GTCCGCGGCGACCCGCCCGCACGCACGCCCCCCTCGCTCACTCGCACGCCGCGGTAGCCCTCGTTTCCCGCAAAATGATGGGTTCAAATTGCGGCAACTTAAAAAAAAACCCAACTCTCGACCTGGGAGAGAGAAGGGGAGGAAGGGAAAGCCACGTCCGTTCTAGTGTTCCCGGCCCGCTCCCGAGCGGCTCGCGGTGGACGGCGCGGGTGTCTCCGGCGGCTCCCGGCTGGACATCTGCGGGGGCAGCGCCGGCCGTCGCCCCCACCGACCCGTCCGCCTCTGGAAAATGCAGCTCGCGCCCCACGCCTGAGCCCCTTCCCGGCGGGCAGCTCCACTCCTCGGAACACTTTTCAAGTTTCGCCCCTTCGCTCGCCCTCCCTCCCACCCAGACCCGAGCCAGATTGGGGCGGGGGGCGGGAGTGGAGGGTGTGAGTAGGGTTCGTGGACCTTCCCTTCTCCGCCTCTGGGGGCCGGGGACCCCGTGGCTGGGGAGGAGAGGCGGGAGGGAGGCCAAAGTTTGATCCCTCCGGTGAAGAGGTGGCCGGCCAGGGAGGAACATTGAGCTGAACAAAGACCACTGCTCATTCTGTGAGCCCCCTCCCTCGAGGAAGGAAGGGCTGCCCGTGCCCCCAGACCCATGCAGTTTATCTCTCACACTGAATTCCCAGTCCCTCGCCCCCTTTTACTCTATGTGAAATCTCAGCAGCACGGAAAACGGGGCTAGAGAAAGCCATCTCCTGGCGCAGGTGTGGAGAGGAGGGTGTTGGAAGGCTGTGTGCTGACCTGGAGTCCCAGACAAGGCTGCTGCCAGAGAGTAGGGACTCAGGAGCTCGACAGAGGTAACCACTCTGGGTGTGGGTGGCGAAAGAGCACAGGTCTGCTTCAGTGCAGGTGCTGTTCTAGCCCCCTCCTGGCTTGCTGGGTAGCCAGTGGTGTGCTGGGCTGCTGGGCAGGGTCAGGCGTGCACCTTCCCTCCTGCAGGAGGGGCTCCAGGAAGGCCCAGATTAGGAGGTAGGAGCTGGTCAAGGAAAGACGTGTGTGGTCCAAGAGGTGCCCTCCAGACCAGGATAAAGGTTCCAGAGCCCATGGGTGTCCACATCGGTGGGGCCCTGGGCCCTCTGCCTGCCCTTGCTGGTGCGTTCCGGGGGGCAAGGCCCTGCCCTGGGGTGTGGTCTTCCCCTCCTGTCTCCCTCAGCCAGAGGCAGGTCCTCTAGGGTGGGAGGGGCCCTGTGAGGAAGCTGGAAGGTGCTCAGGGCTGCTGTGAGCCAGGTAGTCCTTCCTGGCAACCCTGGCAAGTGGATTCTCATTCTGAAGGGGCTATTAAAAACCTGACCTTTTCTCCCACTGCTGGTCTGAAAACTCAGCTTTCTGGGCCAAGGATGATCAGGGCCAAGAAAAAAGAAAAACTGTATTTCAGGCAAAGCGGCCAGATTGCCGGCTGCTGAGCTGTGCATCCCTCCGGTGGGCAGGGCTCCCTGGTATTGGTGCCTTCTGAGGGTTAGGAGTGGTGGAGAGCCGCGGGGGGTCCTCAGCTCCTTCTGGGCCCAGACCCCTATGTGGCAGGCAGGCTTTCCCCAGCCGAGGAGTCAGCTCTCTTCCTTCCCAGAAGTGGCATTGGCACCTATCCTGCTCATGGTGGGTGTGTATGTGTGTGTGAGAAGGTGCGTATGGGGGTTGGTCAGAGATGCTCTCCCCGTGTCTGAGACCCTGGAGGCTGAGTGCTGGAAGGAAGGATGAAAGCAGGAGAACGGTGGGCTTAGCATCCCCTTGGGTTGTGGCCCTTCAGTTCCCCTTTCCACAGGGGAACTGAAAAGGGTAACCACAGGGTATAGAAAAGCTCTGGGCTAGGCTGGTCGAAAGGCAGGGGTGGGCTGGCATGATGGAAACTTTCCCCCTAGGGCCCTTTTCCTGGCAGGGGGATGGTTGGAAATTCCACTGTGGTGGGAATTTCCAGAGCTTGAGCCTTGGTAGGCAGTGTCATCTGGACCAAGGTCTTCAGTGTGTCCCTCCAGCGTTCCGAGAGAGGCTGGGGGTGGAGGACTGTTGGGGGAGAGAGGCCTTTCTTGCCCAGTCTTTCTGACACCCCCCACAACACTTGGCACACCCAACAAGAGAAAGTGACTTGGGTGGGGGTGGAGGACTGACCTGGGGGCCCACTTCCGAATGGTCTCTAGCCCTGGTGGGGACGGTGGATTCAGGAAGGCAGTTGTAGCTCTGTTTCCTTCTCAGTCCCCTCTGTGTTCCTAGAGGTTGCTCCCCCCCTCTGGTCTTGCCAGATTTAGGATTTGGGAGAATCACCAGGGCACCTTCTGCTCTTCACTCTTAGGATTCCTGGCCAAAGGCTGCAGGGTGCCACAATTCTTTTCTCTGGCAGAGATGGATTGGTTTTGGGGTCATGAAGCCGACTAGAAGAGTCAAGGACTCTTTGGTGAAAGGATGCCCAGGCCCTTTGCAGAGTGTGTCCCTCACCTGATCTCACGTGCCAGTTGTCAGGACAGGGGAAGCCTTCACTTTTGGCATGGGAGAGTGCCTAAGACTGTGTAAGCATTATCCCTTGGGGGCTCTAGGTCCCACCAGTAGGACAGGGAGAGTAAGTGTCCTTATTTCCGGAATCGCCTAAGCTAAATGTCCTGACCCTTAAGCATGCTGTGAGGTCCAGGCCTGCAGAAGGCCGAGGATGCTGGAAGGTTCCATTCCCAGCCTCCCTCTGTCGGTGCAGCCTTCAGCTCAGTCCAGGTGGGAGGGGATTAGCCTACAGAGATGCTGGGCTAAATCAGAGGGCCCAGGGCTGCCCCTTCCTGAGGTTCCAGCAGGCTGGCTGGCTGCCTGGGGGCAGCAGGTGCAGGGGCCATGTTGGCTCAGCTGCTCTTGGGGGCCCAGATGCACCTGGGCACTTCTCAGGGAGGTAGGAATCTGCTGAAGCCGAGAAGGAGAGATGCTGCCTCAGCTTGTGTGGAGGACACCTCTCCGAGAGCCGGTGCCCTGGCCTCACACTCCGTGCTGATTTCTTCTCTGGTCTTGTCTGAGGCTGGCCACGTCCTTTAGCCTTCCTGTCGTGGGGAAGAGGTATGGTCACTGGGAGAAGGACATGTCTTTTGCTCTGGCTCCTGAAGCCTTCTCTATCCCAGGCTCACCCCTGCTTCTCTTCTCTGTTGTCTCCTGTGGGGTGGGCCTCCTGGCCAGTCCCACCTGGAGTGGACTCCTTTTCCCGTGGGGCTCTCGAGAGGGACGGGCTGCCGTGCAGTGCATTGCCTCTAGGTGTCGCTGTCTCCCTGCGGTAGCGCCCCCCCTGAGTAGGTCCTCCTGGGGGAAGGCGGAGCGGCTGGGTAGGGGTGGGGGGATTCTGCAGTATTCGGAGGAAGGAATTTCTGGCCTAGCCATTTATTATGTTTGGGGGCGAGATGGAGTTCAGGAAGCCTCCAAGATCACTGTTTGGGTCTTGGAAAACGCAGTCAAGACTGGGCCACGGTGTGGGCTTTTCCTGGGGCAGGATCTGGAGTTAGGGGCTTCAGAGAGGATGGGGAGGCTGGGAAGACGGTGTCTCCGTGGGGAGGAAACCATTTTGGGAGCTTGGCTTTGCAAGGATCAGGCGAGCCTCTTCCTGCCCTTTCTCTGAATCTTCTTTCCTGCCCCTCCCTCCTGAGGCACTGTGGGTGTGGACTTGGGATCCAGGGATGGGAAGGGTGGGCTGCTGGGTGCTTGCCTATTTCGAGAGAAGCGAGGTTCCGTCTGCAAGACCAGGGTCCGAGGAACAGAGTCCTTCTCCTTTTGCAATTGATTTATAGTATTGGGTTTTTGGAATGAAGAAAATAAAATAAGAGAGACAGAGTGGGAGAGGGTTGCAGGGGAGGGCGGGGAGGAGAGGAAAGAAAGAGAAAAGAGGAGATAAGAGCGGGAGAGAGAGAACAAACAAGGCCATTCAAAGAGAAAAGGTAAAAGGTGATGGAGAAACAGACCTCCCGGGAGGCAGTCGTCAAGAATAGCTGAGAAGCACAGACAGGCAGGGCAGATCCAGAGAGGGGAGGAGAGAGCCAGGGAAGATGTGGAGTTGCTCTCTAGGTTTGGTTAAAGTATTTTGGAGGAGGCTGGGGTGGAACGTGTCACGTGGAAGGCAAGTGTTCAGGTCTCCGCCTGGCGTGAAGTTGGACTGGAAGCCGTGGAGGGGTGAGGCCAGGATATAGGTCTTCCCTCCCGGGCACACCTCGGACTTCAAGTGAGGCTTGTCTCTCCTTGTCTTCTCTGAAGGTCTAGCAACTTGGAATGAGTACACTAGGGGTCATGGGGGGGATGTTTCTACCCCTGCGTGGGGCCTTGAGTTGTTACTACCCATCTTTGGGCCTCAGTTTCCCTGGGGTAAAATGTGAGGGCCGGACTCTAGGATCTCTCCAAGGCCCCAACAGGCTGTGAACGTTAAATGACTCTGTACTGCTTTCAGGGCTTAACATGGCACCTTGGATGGGCCTCTGGCCGGAGCTGGGGCTCATAGGGGGCCCGGGTGGTATTAAAGGGTGGTCCCCCTCTGCACACCCCTGTAAGCCCTGCAGCCCCCAGCTCTCCGCCCAGACTCCTGGCGTCTTGAGCGAGGGCCTTCCTGGCTTTATTGCTCTGTGCTCCTAGGCCCAGGGCCGGAGCGGAGGAGGCATGGAGTGGCCTGGAGTGGCTGCAGGTGGGGACGCTGGTAGAGCCCGGGGAGGATGACAGCCTGAGTTCTCCCTTGGGTGTGAGGAGAGCTGTTCCACTGAGTCGGCCTTGGTGTGCTTTGGTGTGCAGTGGGTGTGAAGCTCCCAGAAGGGCCTGCATCTTGGGTCGGAGGACTTGGCGGCCCTCATTCACGCTTGTCTTCCCTTCCCATCACCCAGACGAGACCCTCCGCTCTTTGGCCAGCCCTTCCTCCCCGCAGGGCCCCGAGCTGCACGGCTGGCGCCCCCCGGTGGACTGTGTCCGGGCCAATGAGCTGTGTGCCGCGGAATCCAACTGCAGCTCCCGCTACCGCACGCTGCGGCAGTGCCTGGCTGGCCGCGACCGCAACACCATGCTGGCCAACAAGGAGTGCCAGGCGGCCCTGGAGGTCTTGCAGGAGAGCCCGCTGTACGACTGCCGCTGCAAGCGGGGCATGAAGAAGGAGCTGCAGTGCTTGCAGATCTACTGGAGCATCCACCTGGGGCTGACCGAGGGTAAGCCTGCGGGTGGGACTCCGGGGGGATGGCCACGGAGGCGGTGAGGGCGTGTGGTGCGCCAGGGGTGCGGGAGCGAGGATTTGGCGAGGGGGCAGAGTGCCCCCCCCCAGAGGAACCCAGAACCCAGAGGAGGTAGCCTCCAGGCCTGGGTGGCAGTGTGGTTAGAGAAGGCCAGGGAAGACTGAGACCAGGCAGTGGCCAGAG